TTACTGCAGCAGAACAGTTTTACTGCAGCAGAAATGTTTTACTGCAGCAGAAACGTTTTACTGCAGCAGAAACGTTTTACTGCAGCAGAACAGTTTTACTGCAGCAGAAATGTTTTACTGCAGCAGAAACGTTTTACTGCAGCAGAAACGTTTTACTGCAGCAGAAACAGTTTTACTGCAGCAGAACAGTTTTACTGCAGCAGAAAAGTTTTACTGCAGCAGAACAGTTTTACTGCAGCAGAAACGTTTTACTGCAGCAGAACAGTTTTACTGCAGCAGAACAGTTTTACTGCAGCAGAAAAGTTTTACTGCAGCAGAACAGTTTTACTGCAGCAGAACAGTTTTACTGCAGCAGAAACGTTTTACTGCAGCAGAAACGTTTTATACCTCTTGTGTTTCTGCAGAAAACCATCACAACTTTGGACCAGAAAATTGAGAAAATAAGAAAAAGAAGGAAAGCTGAGGTGAGTTGTTGCTTTGAGTCCACTTCCTGTTTGAGTCCACTTCCTGTTTGAGTCCACTTCCTGTTTGATTTGTTTTTTAATCTGCAGGAGAAATCTCAAAGTGCAGCAGAGGAAAATCTTTCAGGAAAGACAGAAGTGGAGGATGATGACATGAAGCCTGTTGCAGAAGGAGCTGATGATGATGATGAGGAGGAGGAGGAGGAGGAGTTTGACTCAAGTGATGAAGAGGTCCTCACTAAATCAGGTGGCTTTATCTTCTGAGTTGTATTTTAATTGTTAAGCGTTTAAAAATCCAAACCTTGTCAAACTAGCGGTTTTATTTGCTGTCAGACACTCTGAGAGAGAAAGAACGTCGAGGGAAGAAGAGGAAGGTGGAAGAGGAGGTGAAGAAGAGGAGCAGTGGATGTGACCAATAAGTCGACTGTGTTTCCATGGTAACGGCTGTGTTTGTCTTCAGGTTGCTGAGACGTTTAATGAAGATGCTTCTCAGTACAACGATCAGCTGACGTTTGAAGACATGAACCTGTCCAGACCCATCCTGAAGGTGGGTCCACTTCCTGGTTTTATGGGTCAGCTGGTAGCAGTACACTTTGACTCCGCCCACATGGTTCTCTCTGTCATGTACAAGCCTTCCTTTGGCTTGGCCTTCTTTTCCACAGACTCCTCCCACTTCAGGTAGACTCCACCCACCTTTGTTGGAAAAGTTACTCTAACAGACACTCAGCCTGGCTTTGGCCCAGAAAACCAGTTCCAGTTCATTAACTTGGTTCTGAAGCAGGTTCAGCACATTGGGCCCAGCCTCATTAGAACATCTACCTGAGCAGTTCTGCTCTGTTTCCTCTCACCTGTTCTCCTCCTGCAGGCCATCACAGCTTTGGGCTTTAAGGAACCAACACCAATCCAAAAGGCCTGTGTTCCAGTGGGTCTGCTGGGCAGAGATCTGTGCGCCTGTGCTGCAACTGGAACAGGTACCACAAACCAATGAGACCCATTCATTCAAACTGACTCATGGTTCTGGAACAAGTACCACCGACCAATGAGACCCGTTCATTCAAACTGACTCATGGTTCTGGAACAAGTACCACCGACCAATGAGACCCGTTCATTCAAACTGACTCATGGTTCTGGAACAAGTACCACCGACCAATGAGACCCGTTCATTCAAACAGACTCATGGTTCTGGAACAGGTACCACCGACCAATGAGACCCATTCATTCAAACTGACTCATGGTTCTGGAACAGGTACCACCGACCAATGAGACCCGTTCATTCAAACTGACTCATGGTTCTGGAACAGGTACCACCGACCAATGAATCCCGTTCATTTAAACTGACTCATGGTTCTGGAACAGGTACCACCGACTAATGAGACCCGTTCATTCAAACAGACTCATGGTTCTGGAACAGGTACCACCGACCAATGAGACCCGTTCATTCAAACTGACTCATGGTTCTGGAACAGGTACCACCGACAATACAGAAATAAAAAAACAGAAATAATAGATTTACAGTTAATCTAACTAGCTAATAACTAAATGGCTCCAGTTAAACAGGTTAATGGTTAAAAGAGTTAACTAACTGGCACCAGTTAAACAGGTTAATGGTTAAAAGAGTTAACTAACTGGCACCAGTTAAGCAGGTTAATGGTTATCAGAGTTAACTAACTGGCACCAGTTAAACAGGTTAATGGTTATCAGAGTTAACTAACTGGCACCAGTTAAATAGGTTAATGGTTAAAAGGGTTAACTAACTGGCACCAGTTAAACAGGTTAATGGTTAAAAGAGTTAACTAACTGGCACCAGTTTAACAGGTAAATGGTTAAAAGAGTTAACTAACTGGCACCAGTGTAACGGGTTAATGGTTAAAAAAGTTAACTAACTGGCACCAGTTAAACAGGTAAATGGTTAAAAGAGTTAACTAACTGGCACCAGTTAAACAGGTAAATGGTTAAAAGAGTTAACTAACTGGCACCAGTTAAACAGGTTAATGGTTAAAAGAGTTAACTAACTGGCACCAGTTTAACAGGTTAATGGTTAAAAGAGTTAACTGGCACCAGTTAAACAGGTAAATGGTTAAAAGAGTTAACTAACTGGCACCAGTTTAACAGGTTAATGGTTATCAGACTTAACTAACTGGCACCAGTTAATTTAACCCAATGATGTGCTCTCTTTAGGGAAGACTGCAGCCTTCATGTTACCCGTGTTGGAGCGTTTGGTTTATAAGCCCAGGACAGCCCAGGTAACCAGGGTTTTGGTTCTGGTTCCTACCAGAGAACTGGGGATCCAGGTTCACTCTGTGGCCCGTCAGCTGGCCCAGTTCACCTCCATCACTACCTGCCTGGCTGTTGGTACTTGCTGCTTCTTTCTCTTCAACAAATGTTCAAACTAGACTAAGTGTGGTAACCTGTGGTTCTGGTTTCTGCTCTCAGTCCAGTTCTCATTCAACCTGTCTTGTCCCCTTGTCTCAAGGTGGTTTGGACCTGAAGTCTCAGGAGGCAGCTCTGAGGGCGGGACCAGATGTTCTGGTAGCTACCCCCGGCCGACTGATCGATCACCTTCACAACACTCCAAGCTTCGAGCTGAGCCACATCGAGATCCTGATCCTGGATGAAGCAGACAGGTGAGAGGTCACACCTGCACACAAGCAAGGCATCAGAGTTCACACACTCAGTGGTCTGGTTCTGGTTCTGGTTCTGACAGAATGCTGGACGAGTACTTTGAAGAACAGATGAAAGAGATCATCAGGTTGTGTTCTTACAACAGACAGACCATGCTGTTCTCCGCCACCATGTCAGAGGAGGTATGTACTCTAACCTGGGTCATGTGACCTGTTGTAGGTGTGTCAGTGGGTCATGTGACCTGTTGTAGGTGTGTCAGTGGGTCATGTGACCTGTTCTAGGTGTGTCAGTGGGTCATGTGACCTGTTGTAGGTGTGTCAGTGGGTCATGTGACCTGTTGTAGGTGTGTCAGTGGGTCATGTGACCTGTTGTAGGTGTGTCAGTGGGTCATGTCACCTGTTGTAGGTGTGTCAGTGGGTCATGTCACCTGTTGTAGGTGTGTCAGTGGGTCATGTGACCTCTGTCTGCAGGTAAAGGATTTGGCAGCTGTGTCCTTGAAGCAACCAATCAGGATTTTTGTGAACAGCAACACAGATGTGGCTCCGTTCCTGCGGCAGGAGTTTGTTCGTATCCGACCCCACAGAGAAGGAGACCGGGAGGCCGTGGTGGCAGGTAGGAATGGATCATGTTGTGGTCCAAAACCAGGAGTTTGTTTGTTTGTTTGTTTGTTTATTTATTTTATTTTTTTACAAAACTTTATTAATTTCATTAAAAACAAAATAAGATCTTATATCGGCCCCTTTTTTCCCAAGAATATACTTAAACAATAGTGATTTACAAAAAAATAAATAAACAAAAACTACATTATGCCATTTCATATTTTTTCAAGAAACAAACTTTTATCATTTTCTTAAATATGGACATTGTTCTGGCATTTTTACCATCATCCTCCTGACCGTTCCACAACCCTGTTCCCTGAATTAAAGATCGCTCCTTCAAACTGGTACAAAACCAAAGCTTCACAAACATCTCTGTTCCCTTAAGATAATAACAACTCTCTCTAACTCTTAACAAAGTTTACTTGGATGTTAGAAGATATGTTTTGGTGAGCCTTATACATAAACAGTAAAATATTATAACCAACCAAGTCATAGAATTTCAATGCTTTCAGCTGATGGAACAATGCATTTGATGGGTGACTGTAATGTTTTCTAGTAATAATTCTTACAGCTCTTTTCTGTAAAACAAAAATAGGGTTTATAAATGTTTTTACATGAATTCCCCCAGACTTAAATACAATAAATCAAGTGTGGAACAATTATTGCATTATACAACATAAACAGTGTTTTATCATTAAATAACTCTCTCACTTCATACAATACTGCAATGGTTTTAGCTATTTTTGTTCTTAAATAATTTATTTGATATCTCCATGTCAGCTTTTCATCAATGATGTATGGAGGACCAAACCTATCATTATTGGAAATAAATGTATAAATATATAACTGGCGTATTAAAATAAATTATAGGGTCAAAAAGAAGCTTGACAAATAAATTATTGTGCCATTAAATCAATTACATCAATTATTTAGATATAAATG